AATAGACTTTGCCATTCTAATAAACAAAATTAATGACAATGAGAAGTCCCATTTGCTTTTTTTGCATGACTGAAAAAAATAGCATCTAAAAGAACTTTTTCCTTTTTTTCAAGAGAAGCCGGATAAAATCATCCTCTTGTAATATCGAAAGAGTAGTTTCAGATGTATATCTATTTTGTAGTTTGTATATTGTTGAAAACCACTAATTGATAATAATCGATTAAACAATGCGTAATGTGTATGGTTATCAGTTAACACCTTCGTCTAAAGTTTTTGGCTTCTCATAAAGTGCATATTATATTTTCAGAGATTCGTTTAACCAATATGCAGAAAAAGTATGGATAGTATAACTATTTCAATTTGGAGAGACTATATAAACACTGAACTTACTTCTGAAATAAAAAAAAAAGTTTTAAAATTCTATCATTTACTGTCTTCTAAAATGAAATTACGATGTCACGATGAAATCAATAAATTTGGTTTATATGTGCATTTTGTTTTGATAAGTTTAATTTGACTATTGAAAGGAGTAAGAATCCTAGGTAAGAAATGTAATAAAAATGGTGTCGATATTTTGTGTCGATATCACCACCAATAATATCAGAACGCCATCGTAATATTCCTTTTATCATATAATGGGATTTTGTTTTTGTAATACGATGAAAAAGTTATGATATATAGTTAGAAAAAAAGTATTATTTTTGTTTTAAACAAATTTAAATAAAATCATTCTTTTTCAAATTTGAAAATTTTATGATCTGTAGAAAATAAAAAAATGATTGATACATGTTATGCACAAAAAAATCTCTAATAAATCATTTATTTAATTGATATTGGTATTAATAAATTTGGCAAAATCCAGATATTTGTATTCTTTTGTCAAAAGTCATTCTTAATCAAATTTATAAATAAATGAAACGTTATTTTTGACGGAATTAATTCACACATTCATTTGTGAGAATTAATAAATTTATCGAAATATATTATAACTTATTATGTACAAAAATCAATCATAAATATGATACATAAAAAAAGACAAGCGATTTATGTTCAGTATACAAAAGTTTCGAACACGTTGATATTTCGAACACATTGATATATTTGATATACAATAATGTTGGGAATGCATTGATGACTTTTTTAAGGCATATAAATAAAATAAGAATTAGACCCGTAGCCAGGTGTAGGCTAGAAAGGAGATATATTTAGTCTCTGCTCCTGAAACAATTTTTTCTTTGTAAAGCAGAACAGAACACCATTGTTGCTTCAACAGTCTATAGATAAAACCATTGAGGTTATTCCACGGAGGCGTGTTATTTGTACAATAAATCAGGAATTTGACATAAAGAAATTTTGTTATCGCAAGAAGGAATTTTGTAATTTTCTTGCTGTAGATTGGAAAATATTTTCAAAGTAAAAAAAGTATGAAAGGGTGATTGCTGCTTGTCAAATCTGTTCTTACGAAATGAAAACAAATTAATCAAGCACCAGAGCGCACTTCCCTGCTTCAATGGCATTTTTTTTGGCGTTCTGGACACAATTTTACTGTTTTTACGTTGTGTAGAATTTACACTTTTTTTTATCAACAAGCAATTCCTCGCAGAAGCTGTACTACGGTATTCTGGCTATATTTAAATAAAACAATATGTCAGCAACTTATTTGGAATCAGATGGATTTACTTTTATTCTTAAAAAAACTTTGTTTTTGTTTCTGGGAACATATAAGAATAGAACAAATAATTTGTACGACAAAAGGGCACGTAATGGAAAAAAGAAGGAGAAATGAAAATCAATCATAAATTTCCACACTCATCACTGCCTTCATAAGCCATGAAATATCTGGCTATGGGTCTTATTGGAAAAAAAGCATTATCCTCTACTAATGACGCCTAATCAATCAGAATTGCAATTAAATTTCCGCGAATTCAGTGCTTTGATATTCAGGATTACAAATGTATGTGTCATTCTTACTTTTCTGTTAGTTTGTTTAATTTTAATTTTTGTTCTTGTAATGAGTGGGAGGACACTGAACAAGAATGCAATCGTGGTTGAAATCCAGGATAAAAACGAATTATGACTTAGCTTGGTGCTTTAAGATCAAGATGTTGAAAGAGATTTATATTGCTAGTTCTAATTTAGAATAGGCATTTAATAAATTCAGATGACATGTGTTAATAATTGCATATATTTCAGGCGTATGTTTGGAAGTATTAGAAATTGACAATAAAATGTAAAAGATATAGTTTGATCGGACAAATTTAAATTTTCATGGACATTTAATTCTTTTAAAAATTTATTTCGCATTATAAGTTTTGTCTGAAGTTTGTTTTTGTTGTGCCGATTCTAAGTGACAGATCGTACGTACACTCATTCAGTCGATGTCGATCACTTTGCATTCAATAGAGTTTAATAATTAAAGCTTTACAAAAGATATAAAGATTAATTAAATTTTATTATCTAATATTCATCTGATTCTCATGAATGACTCCATGATTATTTTTATTAGATTTAGAGAATTAGGCTACTTAAAATAATTATTGTATTTTTACAGACAGCAGGAAATGAATTCTTCATTGCTCTAGTAAATGTGCTATTAAATACTTTACACGTGTGGTACACACGCAGCAATAAACTCAGTCTTCCATAGTATAATTATAATTTCATAATTTCTTTCATTTTACGTAAATGAATTTCTCAGTTATCTATACTGACTTTATTGTTTACTTTCACATTTAGTTTTTGAAAAGGTTATAGCATTTTATAAAACATTCTGTATACAAATTTTAAAGAAATAGTTAAAAAGAAATATTGGTTTCAACAATATGAAAAAACTAGATAGTTTATCCAACAAACGTTACATCGAATAAATTTATTATATAGCGTAAAGATGTGCTTGTAATGATATCGCTTGTAGTCGTTTCATAGAATATTTCTGCGAAACTTGAAAGAATTTTTCGTTTTTCTTTCTTTTTTTTTTTTTTTTTTTTGCATAAGTGATTAAAATTATCTGATAAAGTCCAATATTTTCCAATGGAAATAATATACATTTCTAATCTACAAGACGAGTTATTCGAATAAACGTTTTCACATAAATTAATAGTTTTAATTTTTGTGTATTTGTATGTCGTTTAAACACGATTATGGTAAAAAAGAATTTTAAAAGACAACCACGACAATCTGTTCTCGAAGAGAGAGTCTTTTAAATTTCATCTAAAGAAATTCATATCGTTATAAATAACATTTTAACATAAATTCATATAGTTATAAATAACATTTTAACATAAATTCATATAGTTATAAATAACATTTTAACATAAATTCATATAGTTATAAATAACATTATTATTATATTATAAGGTTTTTATAGAATTCAGACAATATTTCCCGGATTACATACATAAGTTGGAACAGTTCTTTGATTAAGAAAATTGCTTTAAAATATGGAATAGTGGACTCAAAATCGAATAATTTACGTTTTGCAAAGGAACTTAAAATATCCAATTATAAGAAAGAAAATTCTATAGCCACTCCGAAAATGTCTATGATTATAGTTTATTTACATGAGTGTGCGTGTGATGTTTTTATTATAAAATAATTGAAAGATAATATTTGAAGTAAATTACTAGTTTAATGAACAAATTTTTAGTGAAGATAGGATTTTTAGCAGTGGCTATTTTGACTACAAAACGAAATGATAACAAGTCCATTATCGTTATCTTCGTCAACAAAATCATCGTAACTATCACCATCATCATTATAATTATCATTTTTTTTTAAATATATCGTCATCACAGACTGAGAAAAATGTTAACATACCTTGAAGAAAAATTGGTACAAATTACAACTGTGGCAATTTAAAAATCGTTTCAGAAATAATAAAAAAATAAAGAAATTACATTAAATTAAAGTACACCCGCATTTATGCCTGCTAGTTGTGACCATTTAATACTTTTAAACAATTCCATGCTCAATTGAACGATCAAAACACATTCCTTGTCGTCTGCACAGAAACAGGCGATCATTGATGCCTGTTTATGTAGACATCGTATCTCTGAGGCTGGCATCAAGTGCTATGAAATCCATTTTCATGGATTTGGCTTTTTCCCTTTTGTTGATTTGTAAATTAAAACATATTTGTTAACAAAAAAATTATTAATACATGAATAAAATTTACAAAGAGATAAATAAAAAGTTACAGAAAATATATCTGCAAGAACAGTGAAAAAAAAAAAGGTTATTTTTCTTTTCTTTTAGGAGTTGTGGGCTGTATTTGTTGTCCGGAAACAATTTTCTTTTTAGAATTTAAATTATTTTTATTTGCAAATTATCAAATTGGGTTTAGAAAATTGATTTTTTATAGGATAATTTTATCAAAATGTTTGCTTCCTAAGTTTGGTTGTTTATTATCATTGTCTATGTATGTACAGATGTCCTTTGATATCCACCGAGTAAATCTGCGGATGATACTCATGTCTCTTTTATGAAATGTCATAGTATTTGCATATTAACCTACGCACACCGTCCTATATACGTCAAATGACCTTTACATTAATTATAATATCTAATAAATAATAAAGTTATGTAAATAGTTGTTATACTGTTGGTATGAAAAAAATCTTTTCGCGAGAAATCGATAAAAAACAGACATGTATAAAGGTAAATTTTATCGTCACAACATTTGTACCATCAGTAAAAAGAAAGATTGGAGAAAATTCTGGTTTAAAATTATTTGTGTACATTTATATTTTATAGAAACAGATATATTTGTGAAAAGTGATAGAGTGAAATGTTCTTTATCTTAATTAAAATATGAAAGAAAAATTGTGATAATTTGCATAATGATTTTTTCAGGCTAAACACCTTGATTTTACAAATCTACCAAAAATCGGATTTTAATAAAATTTCCGATACTTATTTAATAAGGAATGGACATTTTAGCAATAAATTTCCATTTCAAATTTCTAAAAATAAAAAAAAAGCAAACAAAAACAAAGTGGTGCTCACAGTACAAGAAGTGAACGGACGAAACTGAAGTCATGCAAAGAACGAGGGCTAGAGAGAGAGAGAGAGAGAGAGAGAGATAGAGAGAGAGAGAGAGAGAGAGAGAGAGAAAGAGAGACTGAGAATCTTTCAAATGATCGAAGGCAGAAGCAGAGTAATGCCTTCATTGATGTGCATCCCATAGTGCTCAGTGTGCGGCACATTCAAGTTTTACTTTTGGGAAATTTTTGCAACTTTTTTCGAATGTTTTCAATTTAAGATTGGTTAAATCCGCAGATACGAAGGGCCGACTGTAATAATGTTTAATAATATAATTATCTATATATGAAGAATATCTTATTTTTTATTTTTTTCGAAATCTATTAACATATTTGCCCAATCTTTTTATTAGTAATGAAAATGTTGTTCGTTTATGTTAATTCCAAAACTTCTGTCATTTTAAAACAATGTTTCTAAAATTATTTTTGTTTTCAAAACCTTAAAAGGTAAACTACAGAATTATGACGTTAGTAAATGTCCTTAAATGCTTTCTAATCTACGTTTTATAATTTTAACTAGAATATCTATACCCTTACTTTACTTGTGGGTTTTTTTTCCTCCTGGGTATAATAGCTTTTTGAGTCCGTCTATTGATAGGAAAGAATGTGTATCCGTACTGCGTATTGGTGATTTAATGCTGACTGGATAAGATGTTTGTCCACCTACAAAACTATGTCTTCTTTCCGGCCTGGGCAAGTTAAGATGAAATTGCTTATCTTGCTGTTCAACAGATTTAGCGATATTACCTGTCGTATTACTTGTTTTGTGGTGGTGATGGTTGTTATTGTTGTTGTTATTGTTATTGTTGTTGTTGCAGAGCAAAGAACTTTGTTCCTGTGCTGGTGGGGACTCTTCCGTCATTTTTTCATGTTGGTGCGAGTACTGCTGTTGCTGATGGAGTTGATGATGCTGATGCTGGTGTTGGTGTTGGTGTTGGTGGTAGTTTCCGTTTGCCGAATCTTTTTGGAAAACAGACTCTGGTGATACTTCTCGACTTGATGGGGCAGAGTTTGGTGCGCACCCAAATGTTGTGATAATTTCGTGTCGATGGGAGCCTCCTCCGGGACCGCCGCCGCCGCCGCCGTTGCCGCCGTTGCCGCCGCCGTGATTCGAACTACTACTATCAGCATTCAGGTTTTGAGCACTGAATGAGCGACACAACTCACTGTTAGGTTTCAAAAATTCAGAGGATGATTTGTGTAGTCTGTGAGGATTAACCCCTTTCTTAATTCGGATAACGTACCTCTCTTCCATATATGCCGACGGCAGAGTTCTTGGAGAGGCAGTCTTAGACCTGTTAGGAGTGACCAGACGCCTATGAATGATTATATCATTATGTGACTTGCTTCGACTTACATAAGCAGCAGGAACGAGACCAATGTATTTCTTGTCATTGATGATGGTTTCCAGTGGCAACGGGACTTTATCTCCTTCTTCGTCATTATTACCAGCATCAGTATTACCGCATTTGCTCATGTCGTCGCAAGATTTAGAAAGAGTGTTGTAACTGGGTGAAAGAAGAGAACTTGGTCGATTAGGATCTTTATTTCCATCTTTGGCAATATTTGATTGCAGGATCTTACAGAGTAAATCAGGATCGAGGCTCTCGGCGCCGTGAGGCTTATGATCCCGACTAATAACGTTACTACTCTTCCGTCTTGAGTCTTTTTCCCGTCGCCTATGCGACGGAGACATAGATGCAGCGATCCAGCTATGCATTTTCTGAAAAAGAGGAAAAAATTGAAATTCATTTCAATAATATATTAAATCTTGATCTACTTCACAGTTGCTACCAAGTCAAAAGTATTGATGAAACAGGTATTCTTTTTCTTTATTTCAAAGGATTAAAAAGTAATCATCATAATTATCATTCAAATCAATAAATTGAAAATGGAAAATATCGTAATATTATTCCCAAATATCGTAATATTATTCCCAATATTATTTCCGAAATTTTTTTTAACATTCTTTAAGACTAGGAAATATCAAAAGATCAGTGACAAGATAGGGTGAATAAGTACACACCAGCGAATACATATGCACTCTCCATATATTATTATCATTAGGAATGACAGGCATTTTGTGCCAATTAATTTTAATGATCAACTTTTTCAAATTACAAATAATCCTTTTCAGACAGAGTCAAAAATTGTCCGAAGATCATTTCAAAAGAAATATACAAAAAATATGGTTGAAGCTTCCAACTTTCTTAAGTCCTCACTGGGGTAGGTTATTATTAGTGAGTTTCGTAAAGCTAGTGAGTGTTGGGACTTCAGCGAGAAGTGACATGTGTTTTTTATATACATTTAAAAATGTGGTTTCTTAAGTTATAATTGTTTTTATTTATTGATGGTTGTTTTTGTTGTATGAGTACTGCTTCCAGTCTGTTTTTACTATTTGATTTTGCTAGT